ACAGTCAGCCAACCGACCAGGCTAGGCAACCAACCAAAGAGACAGCAAAACAACCACCCACATACGCTCATAGTCAAAGACACACATACAGATATATAGAAATATACATCTGTTTACGAAATGTTTTTACAAACATATGTACGTTCATATAGATACTTCGGAAAAATGATACTGACTGCGCTCATTGCATGGCTAGGTGTGTATGTGTGTGTGTGCAACGTGGTGCGTTGTACTCAGAATGTGTTGTGTCTGTTTGTTTGTTTGTTTGTTTGTTTGTTTGTTTGTTTGTTTGTTTGTTTATACCCACGAGATGTTGCAACAACACAAACAGAGCGCATAGAGCAAAGTCGCAGTTGAAGCCTGGTATGCTGCTTGTTGTTGTTATTGCCGAATTTGGGTGGCTTCCGCTGCTACTAACCTCAAACACCTACACAACTAAGTATTACCAATACGATGCACATCGTTCGGCGCATCCTTCGTTGTGTCATTTTTCGTTGCTTCTGCTACTGAAGCCGTTACATATGTGTACATATGTATAAGTATAGATATATGCCCCTAAAAGCAGGCAACAGACAAACAAACAAATAATGCGGTTTACATACGAATATATAGGGACGCATATGCACATGTGTGCACGCTTATGTATAAACTGACTTTCATACAATGCATATATACATGCATATATTCATACATATACACAAATGTTGGTAGGTAAATAATGAATGCGAGGACAACGTACCCGCCCTATTATCCTGATTTCAGCTGTCTGTTGCTCCTCCCAATTTACTGTTGTGTTCATTTTATTTCATTTTGTTGCCTGTGCGTGTATCTCTCTATGTGTGTGTGTGTGTGTGTGTGTGTTAGCGACGTTGAGCTGCGTATTCGATTGACTGGCGTTAGTCGGGCTTGCTGGAGGGTAGGTAGCTGCATTTGTATTTATTTATGTTACAACTCATCCAAAATCGTCTTTGCAAACTTTTCTTATTATTGTAGAATTCATTTTTCAATTTAATTTTTTTCTCAAAATTTTCTACAATTCTTTTCACAATATATTTATTTGAGTACTTCTCTTGTGCATGTTTCTTTTGTTAAAATTTTCTGTTTATTTTTGTTTTCACTTTTTCTCATTCCCTGCAGTGAGACAAGAACACTCTATCCTCGCCTTTGGTGGTTATGCCAACAACGAAAAATTTGATATTTGTACTACATATATGGATGTATATTATAGGTGCTAGGTTTCATTTTTGATGCCATCCACATGTACATATGTGTGTGTAGTTGAACCTTGTATGAGAAATATGTACGTACATATGCTGTATATAGTAGCAATATTTGACCCAAAAATCGATGCTCAAATACCTATATATATATACAGATGCATATATGTAAGTTTATATTATTTATTTCCATTATACTCAATATATGGCATCAGGAGGGATTAAATACATTATATATGTAAATCTATATAAATTGAATTAAATACAAATAAATAAATTTAATGCCAGCACGAAAGGAACGTCGTAGTGGCATGTTGTGTCTGAGTTTGGAACCCCCCCAAAGCCTTCATGGCTTTGTAAATTGACATCAAGCATCACTAAAAGCTTCGTCAGAGTCAGGAACCAGCTCTCTGAGCCGTTTGATGTCAAACGAGGTTTTAGACAAGATGACTCGTGAAAATAGTACGAGCTGAAAAGGAGGTGCAATCTACGATAGGAACACAATCTTCTGTAGTACCGCTTGCTGGTGTACACCTATGATATGACACCATTGGTCACAACAACCGCGCCGAGAGCGCCGAGAGACGAAGCGTATGTAGTTGTAGTTGTAGATAACTTGGTCTACATTGGAACCAGCATTAATATCGACATCAATGACAGTTTTAAAATCGAACGCAGAAACACTCTTGTCAACAGGTGCCTTTTTTTAGACTGAGTAAACTTCTCGCCTAGCCACTTACTTCCCACTTGCAGCCGCTGCACAGGTCAGCTCCTCTGAAGCTTCCTCCCTTTTCGCCGTCACGAGTTAAAATTGAGTATAGCCCAGCGAACGTAAGTGCATACCGAGCAGCTTGACTACACTCCATTGCATTTATTGATGGAAAAAAAAAATTAAATAAAGTAAAATAAAATAAAATAATAATATGAAAATTAAAATAAAACTAAAATACAATAAGCTAAAATAAAAAAACATAAAATGAAATAAAATAAAATCAAATAAATTATTATAAAACAAAATAAAATAAAAAAAATTAAATGAAATAAAAAATAAAACAAAATAAAAAAATAAATGAAATAAAAAAAAAATAAAATAAAAAATAAAATGGAATAAAATAAAGTAAAATAAAATAAAATAAAAATATAAAACAAATAAGTAGAAAAAAAAATTAGAACCAAAATTTAATAAAGCTGTATGAACTTGAAAATAAAATAAAAAAAAATAAAATAAAACTCAATAAAAAAAATAAAATAAAATAAAATAAAAAAAATAAAATAAATAAGTAAAAAAAAAATAAAACACCAAAATGAAGTAAAATAAAATGAAATTAAAAATAAAGTGAAATGACAATTAATATTAAATAAAATAAAAAAAAGTAAAAAAAGAAATAACTAAAATAATATACATTAAAATCGACTACAATAAAGTAAAATAAACTATGTACATACAAACAAGATAAAATAAAAACTATATAAAAATTACTAATTTTAGTGTCCCTTACGTGATACGATTCTTCAACTGTATTTCCTTATGATACAAATATATTAAATCTATAAAAACATACATACATATGTACACACACACTTGTGGCAATCGCTGTCTGTTGAGAATAAACTTTCTTTTTTGAGCAATGAGAGAGCACCTATTTCCTTGAGCGCATCAGCAACATAAGTCACCATATCCGTTTCCGTAAATATTTATACATACTCGTATATGTATGTATGGTAACGGCATATGAGCCACAAATCGGCTTGCCATTATTGTATTGCATATTTGTATGGATTTAACTTTTCGTATTGGAATTCGTATCCTGCGCACAGAACTGCGTTTATACTCGTTAACGCTGACGTTGGCGCTGAAGCCGATGTCGACGTCGTCGTCGATTTCGATGTCGCCGACTATCTCGCCAAATATGTGCGCCATGTGCAGTCGCTTCCTTTGCTGTTGGCATTCATTTGCCAACGTTCACTCGCCACAGGCACGACAATTTTCCCATTCGAACGGTAGTTGTGGCGATTCGTGTTGTTGCTATTATCGTGTCGTTGCTTTCGCTGTCGTCATAAATGTTATTTTGCCGCCGTGTCGTCGCTATCATACCACCATATGCACACGTTGTTCGTTGTTGGTATTCGTTCTGCTTTGTTGCCATCATTTTTCGTGGTTATTGTTGATGCAGCATTTTGTTGTTGTTGTGCTTTTTGCGTGTATTTACTTACGCTTTGATAATTTTAAATCATTTGCCATTGTTGTATGTGCGTGCGAGTGCAGTGTAAATGTGTGTGTGTGTATTTGTGTCATTGTGTCTGTGTATTTGCTTTCATCCCCTGCTGTTTGCGGATACGAGATGCAGATAGTCATCACAACGAGATACGCTGATGCTACCACCAACCATTGACAAGCAACAACGCCGCAGAACACAATTACATATGCACAGTTGCACAAACAAACACACGCACACACAGACGCAGGCACACAAGCAACAAAAGACACAATTAGACTTATACACATATACCATCATACTGCCCTTCGGAACACCAAAGAGCACCAATACATAGACGCATATCTTTAGATACACGCACACACACTCCATACCGAGACCATCATACGTACTTATTTAGTCATCATCCACAACATCCTCATCGAACATCCCGGTCCATCCCCGTTAAACTACCGCCACGACGCGCCGGCTGTAACTGTGACTCTGACTCTGACTCTGACTCCGACTCCGACTACGATTGCGACTGTGAGACTCATTCAAGCAACACCGAATGAACACATCCCAGTTCGAACATCCGTTGTAACATCCCAAAGCATTGAAACGTTGAAGTATTCAAGTACTCGTTTTGTGTATCCGTTTGTCCGTATCTGTGTGTGCCTGTGCGTCCGTGTTCGCATCCGTTGCCTGCATTTCGCTTTGCTTTGGTGTGATTTAGTCTTGCGGAGACAACCGGCAGACAGACAACTCAGACAAATCTATCGGCCGGCGCTCGGAGGTTCTGTGAAAATTTGCCAATATCTTAAGCGCTTACGCTGGTGTCTTGTCGGCTAACGGGTGTCATTTGATGGTATCAAGAACGTGTCGGTTTAGTGATCTTCACTTTTAAAGTTCTGTGCTCGAAGTTACTGTGTCGTCATGCAAAAAAGCTTTTGAGTGAAATATAAATTTTAAAAATATAAAATAAAAACTTTATTTTCGATTTTTATGGCATAAAATAAACGTAATAGAAACAGCTTTGGATTATTAATTAAACGAGCAACGTTCTTTTAAGAGCCTCGAATTGGCAGCGCTCAGCAGCTGGTCTAAGCTTTTAATTATGTATATGTACATGTAAAATAACTGAAATCTTAGAACAAAGTGATAAAGTTATAAGAATTTTAATTAAAAGCAAAGAACACATCACATTGAGGAGCGTGTCCATAATAGAAAATTTCCACGAATGAGTGTAAATGAGAAGTTAGTTTAATTAAAAGTTTTAAGCAGAGCTGACGAGGGTTCAAAAACGTAGAATTACATTAAATAAAAAAAAAAAAACAAAAAAAAATAACAGAAAAATATAATGAGAACCAGAAAACAGCAGTATATTTTTTAAAAACGTGTCAGCTGTAAACTCTGTGTTAAAAATTTTATATAAAAAAATAAAAATCTTGAATCATAAAAAGAGATATTAGTGATTTTCGAATTTTTCATAAAGCAAAATACTAAATAAAGCTCATGTAAAATTGCCGACGGAAGGCATAATATGTACATACATACATGTGTGAGTTTGTAATAATTTGCATTGCAAAAAAAAAGTTTCAAAACAATAATTAAAAACTAAACATTTGGGATTGATCGGCTTTAATATGATTTTCGATCGCTATGCAATATCAGGTATGGTGAATTTTCTTTTTTTTTGAATTATATTAGCGGTATTTATGGCGAGAATAGTAGTGAGTCTTTGTATATTCTTATCAAAAAATAAAGTTAGACAATTTACAAAGCAAACTAATCATACAATATCTCGAAGATAAGCTTTGCTTCATTCATTTTGGTAATTTTTACGGTATTATGTGGTAATGAGGTTTCCAATAAGAGATGCTATTTTGAATTTCAAAGAAAGTGTTACCTTAAAATGGTAATGGTTTCGTTGCTAGTGTGACATGTAGCGCCGTCTCGTAAACATTATTCAGATCGACACGATCCAATTCCGGTCATAAAAATCATTAATCATTTCGCGATAGTTCAATCCATTAATCGTAACAGTTGAATCAGTTACACGTTGGCTTTTCAACTACACATTCTGTGCCCCAAATGCGACAGTTTTGCTTATTGCCATAGCTAACGAGGTGGAAATCGGCCGCATCAGTCAAGATGGTTTTCGATAAAATTTGTATAATGAATTTTATTAACTAATAACTTCAATGCGTTGTTGAAGCGCCAATCGTTCCAGTTTTGTTACTGTTTTAGTTCTTATTTGTCGGATGTAAGGAAAAAGGATAAACTTCAGAAGTGACATCTACCGGAATTGCAGGCTATTCAAAATAACACCTATACTTAAAGGGAAGAAAAACGATATTTTTTCGATAAGTGTGCTTTCTTGAGTGTTTTAGCTAAATATTCCGCTCTTTCAGGTTCCATAACAAACTTGTCTTCTTATTATTTAATAATTATTATACGGAAGTAAAACTAAATTTTTTAAAATTAATTTTGCCGTGCGTAAGTGGGACTGTTATGCAATATTTAGATTTCTGTGCCCTGGTTCGACCAACATTCAAAATTATAGAAAATTAATTTTTTTAGTTGCGGCCGCTTCTCGACAGGAAATCTTAAGCCTTCCAAATGTATTTCTGATACGCAATAAAGGCTTCTCCTGAAAGGCCATCACCCGCTCGGAGGAAGCTTAGTATAAACCGTACCCCACAAATTGGGGGAGAAGCTCGGTCGAAAAACTCTACAGCGGCTAGAAAGCGCCTATTATGTTATACTTTCAGGTTTTTAAACAATGCAGTTTATATATGCGTGAATCTGTGACCTCTGCCGGGAAGATTTTACTGAATTCAATTAACAAAAATTATATAACGTTTGCGATTGAATTTGCGTTGTTAAGGTTTTAACCGATAACTTTTTGTCATTTTGAAGATAATCTCAATATGTCTCTCTCATAGAAATCCATATCCCTATCGGCGAAAAATCCATTTTCCCAGACTTCTCTTGAGGCCAACTCTTCACCGGCCAAATCATTCGTCATAGACATGAACTAGACGGTGGGTGCATAAGAACCTCGCAACCAAGCTGTCGGAGCTTGTGGCTAGTCACTAGCGATGTGTGTGGTCAGGCATTGTTCTAGTTAAACTCAATTGCCCTTCTGTAGGCTCATTCGGGGCGGTTCTAGGCAATTACTTCTTTCATACTGTCCAATTGCTGCGAGTATAGGTCTGAATTAAGAGTTTAGTCGTAGGAAAGCGGCTCACAGTAGTTGCTTCCTTGCCAAATCCACAAAACACAAAACAATGCCAAACAAGACTTCCTGGCCGCCAATCCTGGATTGGAGTTGGTTTTTGCAGGCTCACTGCACTTCGACCATAAGCGTTTTCATTTGACGTTGCAGAAAGTGCTCTAATTTTTTCATCATCACTGAACATCCACTTCATAAAGGGGTCGATTTTTTGACGATTCAGTAGCGATTCACAGATGGAACTTTGGTCCATGATGTTGTTCTTCGTTAACTCATGTGACAGCCATAATTATCTTATCCACATTTTTGACAATTGACCTTCCACGCCGCGAAGCTTCTCTTATATCAAAACTACCGGCACGAAATCGTCGAAACAATTTCAGCACCATAAACCTCGTTCACATTTTCAGTTGCCTGACTTGCGTTTTTGACTTTATTGAAGGAAAAATGTTTAATTTGAAATATTTAATTTAATCTTTGGGTGCAATATTTATTAGTTATTATGAACTCAACTCATAGATATTTTCAAGGACGTTCGGCCTACAGTATGCTGCGTGGAGAACAAAACGAACTATATTTGTAGATCAATTCTCAGAGTTCAGATTAGGTAGATCCCTCCACTGAAGACCTCTTCTACATTCACAGTCAGAAGTCACACATTCCTACAGCGCTACATGATGCTGTTGAATCCACCAAGTAACCGATATGTTTGTATTACCTGACTATTTGATTAGCACTCCTATTATATTACAAAATTTCAACCGTGCCATACAGATATCAACATATACGTGTACATACATACAGAGCAAATAAAACTGTTCAACTTGTATTTTGACTATTTACTTTTGGCGTGCGCTCATGTAATTTGACACACGGATGTGAATCCTTGAGATAAGAACTAAGGCAAATTTGCGGTCGGCACTCATTGTTCCGACCAACTGGTGAAGGATTTCACACCATGGCGGCACTTTATATGTATATATGTATGTACGACCTTTAAAATAAAAATTCAAAAAACCTGGCACTAATTTGAATAGGATAAATAAAGGTAATTTTTTTGTTTTGCTTTGTTTTCATTAAAAAGTGATTACTTAGTTTGGCTTGTGGTTGTTTACGGATTTATATCGCATGGCGTTATTTTTGGGCGAGTATTTCGCACAGGCGTCGGCCACACACATTTTATGTAACATACAGTTATGGTACACCGGCGAACCTCCGAGGCTTGTGTGGTCTATTTGCGGAAAGAGTGTGGTATGCCGTCATATTTGGTCTCGACCCTTACTGTTTATATATCCACGAGCAACTAAATTATTTTTTTTAAATTTGAAAAAAAAAAGCGAGGAAAATATTTCCTCTCTTTTCGCAAAGTTATCGGAAAAAGACAGTCAATCAGCGTAAATTTTAAAAATCTGTTACTTAATGTATAAACTTAAGTTCAAGGAGGAAAGATTAAGATTCGCAAAAAACACCAAGTAATGTCACTGAAACACTGACTCTCTATCTAAAAAGTAAGGGGGTCATGAAGAATATAGTACAAGTTTCTAGCGCTCTTTAGCAATTTAAAGAATACACTGACTGAGTGTCCTACTAGCGTTGAGCTATATACACATACATATTTTTAAGCTGCATTTTAAAATCCAAACTCTTTTGGAGGGGCCTACAGTTTATACTAAGCTGCCTCCAAATGGCTGATGGTTTTTTATGAGGAGCCTTCGATTTTCATGTCATAAATACATTCAGAGGAGTTGACATTCTTTGGTAGTTTACATGTTTACATTTATGAACATTCAAATGGGACTTCTGTCAAATTATCCATTCCGGAAATTACATTCGCATATCTTCTGGGAATGCCAATACCTCCAGGTGTATTATTAGTGTGAAAGAGAGCTCCTCTTACAATTTGAAAAGACATTCTGAGGAGCTTAGCAGAAACTGTTGGTCTACCCATTATATTGCAAAAACAACAAGACGCATACCACATATTGGAGAAGAAGCTTGTCACTGCTAATGTCCAGAGCAGCAAAACGGCTCGTAAGATATTCTTTGCTTCTTGCTTTGCTTACGCAGTTATAATCGAATCAAGCACTGGTCGTTTCTTCTTCAATAAGTTAGGTGAAAATTGAAGAACCACCAAGCGAAGAATTCCCCACTTGATGCTTCGAATGAAGTGATGCTCTAACTATGCTACAGCCATCAGTGGCTACGACCTCGAATACTTCATTCGCCTATATCGTCGTGTCTCTCATAAAGCTCATCCACACCTCTATTTTCCTCCTAACGCATATGACTCTCAATGTTCCACAAAACCTTTATTTTGGCAGCTTTCTAAATCCGACTCATCGTATGTTGTCAACGTCAGCGCTTCTGCACCATAAAGTGTAACGTAAAAAAATAGGAATTCGCAGAGCTTTGTTCTTCGTTTGTCGAGTGATGCCTTTCTTTTCAAATGCCTACTCAGGCCGAGGTAGCTCCTATTGGCAAGAGTGATTCTGCGTTGGATTTCCATGCTGACATTGTTGTTGGTTTCTGGAATAACAAGATTATAAATGAATTCAGAGATATTTTTGTTAAAAGTGACGTGGGTGTCAAGACCCGAGTGCGTTGAGTATTTGAAGATACTCTTTTAATAACAAAGCCTATTCGTCTTGCTTCCTTATGCAGCCTTGTGAAAACAGAACTTGCGCCGCTTATGCGAAATTACGCCAAAAATACTGTACCATATACGAGTACATATAAGGAAGAACGGATTGGAACTCTTGAATATTTTCTAGAACACTTCTCTGTGGCGCTAACCTGGGGAGTAGTAGAGAGGGATGTTTAGGAAAAATAAGACCCTAGAACTTAGTATTTATTTATAGTGAACTCCATAGGAGTGGGTGGAGTTCAGGGGTGGGCTTCGGGTGAGTAATTTGACCAACCCTGCAGTGCTAGAGATGAGAATTTATTTGAGCGCTGCGGCTCTTTAAAAATGTTGAAGTGGGTGTGTAGGCCAAGCTTACACCACTTAAAAAACCGGCGTGTTTCAATCCTTCCCTGTAAAGATACAGGCTTTCGGTTGTATCAACATGCTGCACCTTGTTGCTTAGATATTATATTGAGTGCTATGACTTTTCATAAATGGTGAGACGAGAGTGTACTCTAAGTTTCTTTGTAGGGCAAACTTACATCACTTGGGAGCTGGGGTGTTACTGACGCCGTTGAGCGTGGAGACAAGCAAACTTGCCAGCTTCCGAGCGTCTTACCAAGCACTCTTTAGAGTCGATTGATCGCTGTTGCGCTTCAAAATGTGCGGAGTGAGAGAGTGATCCGTAGAATTCTTGGAACTCTTAGTGATGGTAAACATTTACTACCTACCATGCGCCCTGTTGCACAATTGTTAACCGAGAGCGACCAGACGCTGTGTAGCAAAAAGAGCTAATAAGCGTCAGTATCGCTCGGTTCTTAGAAACGGAATGACAGATAATGGGGCAAATATAATGGCTCGAACCGCCGAGAACTGTTCCCACATGTAGCATTTGGCGGGAAATCTCTGCTACCTTTGAGTTAGTTGTCAGTTTCCAGGTCTTAATCAATAGATACAAATACTTTAGGGCACGAGTCTACTTTATACCCACAAGCGATCGTCTAAAGAATCTCCAGTATTATTTCGTACAATGTTCTCTATCTTTCTTTTATCTCTTCTTATTACTACTGTGAGGAATCCTGGTAGCGACACCAACTTTCGTTGGAGTTCGAGCTTTTTTTTTATTTATTTTTGGTTTCTTTTCGCAGTTCAGTCAGTCTTGCGGTGAATATACATATGTTTTTTTCTGTTTAGACCATACCTACATATATATATATATATATATATATATATATATAAATTGGGCGATAATTGTCTGATTGTCTCTTCAGAAAGCCACATTGTTGCTGTCAATCCGTTATTTGTTTATTTTTTTGTCTTCAAAATGCTTCTCGCTGCTATCCTTGTCTTGTATCTGATAATCTTGTTTTCGTTGTTGTTATTGTTGTTGTTGTTGTCGATAACATTGTTATGTCTTTTTTTAAACGCTTCATACTCGCTGATACTGCACAATTTCCTACTTATATTTTCTTTAACAACTTTGTTGTCATATTGTTTGTTGTTGCTTCAATAATTGTCATCGTAAAATTTGCTGACAACGATGATGCATCGTTTGCCATATTAAATTGTATGTACGAGTATATACATACATGTATTATATGGACTAAATACTTAAAAAAAAAAAACAAACAAATCGCTTACAAACATACATACTAACACATATATATGCATACATACATATACATAAGTATTTGTATAGATTCACAAGCAGAGATAATGTCATTCGATCCAAATTGACAAATACATATATATGTATATAAATAATATATATACATACATTAGCTTAGTAGAATAATACAATTATTTATATGAATATTCGCATAAAAATATGCGCATACACATACACATACATAAAGCATTACCTTTGTATGCTTGCACCATGTCAAGCAGCCACTTGGCCTTAACTAATCTCTATCTTGTCTCTTTTACAAAGTAAATTGAAGTTTTCACATTGTACATTTCATAATTATTCATATCACTTGGACATTCCAAGTCAGTCACGTTGCGTTGATATTGTTGGGATTTTGTTGACAAAATTTATTTAATTATTAATTTATGATTGTCAATTTTCAAGTTTTGTGAAGGGAACGCAAGTGGACAGCGCTTCTATCAGTCTTGGCGCTTGTCTTATCAACTCGTTGAAGAGGAAAGCACGTCAACCTATGTGTGTTTGTAGTGGTGAACAGACCACTAATTTTCAATTGGTTTTTTTTTTGGCTTACAAATTCAATTGAAGATATCTTCAAGGCGATAACTAATAAACGAAATTTTCGATTCTGTCTACATCTAGTTTTTTATTAATAAATTTATATGTTTATTTTTTTTTTTGAAATATTTAATCGCACAGTGCAACAAGATTCTACGTATTTAAACCCCAAGTGGTCGCGCGGTTTTACATACGGACATATTAGAGAAATAAAACATTAATTAATTAATAATATTTTATTTTTTTTTTTGTTTTTAGGCTAAAAAAATTCGAAAACAAGTAACTTAAATACAGAAAAAAGGCAATTATAAAATCAAATAATATATATAACTTAATAATATGAACGAAAACATGTTTAGGTCGATTCGACGCCGCACGACCGCTTGTAGGTTAATGAACCCAAACGCAAATGAAGACTTTTTTTTAACATTAATATTTATTTATTGAATCTCCTTCGACAGCGGAAGCCTAACAATAAGAAATAAAATCTTAAACTAAATCAAAACATAAAACCCATTAGAAAGAATGGGCCGCTGGCTAGACGTTGCTCTTTAGACGGCTGCTATGTCTCTTCTCCGCAGGCGGGTGTGACTTGTTGCATGGGCCAAGGTGTTAGCTTTTCTATCACACCTGGGAGCGGAGCAGTAGGGCAAAAACTAAAAAAATGCGATTTTCGACTTTTTTGAATTGATTAAGTATTTTTGTGCCGCAATTTCAAACTCTACTTTGATGGCAGGTATATTTAGATCTCTATGGATATTTTCATTACGCATATACCATGGTGCAGCCTTTATTACTCGTCGCGCAAGCTGTGCTCTATAGCTGAATTCCATATATCCATATCGGTTCTATTGTTGCATTATATAAGAGGACTTTGTTGCTAAGGCTAAGCCCTGACTTCTTGTTTAAAAGCCAATGTAAACTGGCAGCTTTGATTTTAAGCTGCAGCTTTTTAGAAGCGCAAATGAAGATTAGCAAACACAACTCTGTATACAGGAAAACTGCAACAAATTTCCATACAATAATGGCATCCTTCAGGAAATTTATGTTTCTCTACTGGTTTTCGTGTCGAGGAATACATTTTTCATGTTTATTTTTATCTCAAGCTCACGATAGGTGGCGCTCTCATACGATTATTGCCATTTGTTATGGCTCCTTTTTATTAAAAAGTAAGGTTTGTGCTGTTTTTAAGGCTGAGGAGCTCATTTTTGATGTCTATTTTATTGTAATAATAAGCTTTCCAAAAAGAGGTGTTATGTTTATATTCCAAGGAAAATTGTATTTTTTGAAATAAATGATCGGATGTTTATTTCAATATTAAGTAGTTTCTGTTTGAAGCTGTTTTCGAAATTTAGTTGATGAGGCATTTAAATTTTTATGTTTCCCAAAAGTTGTATAATTTTTACTGAATTCCACGAGTAGCAGTAGTCATCAGTTCAGAAAGCATGGAATTGAAAGCTTTATACGAACGCTCTGTAGTGGCCGAAAACTCTTTATTGATTTTCGAATAACTCGAGAAGTATTTATTTGCCGGATTCACTTCAGATCATTTTGTTTTTTTTTAAGATAATTTATTTTATGGAACTGAAAATTATATTTGTCGAAAATTCTTACTAACCTTGTGAGGAGCTTTTACTTCACGTCATAAATACACTCGGAGGGCTTGACATGCTCTGCCTCGAGGTCACAGCAATTAGTAAAATTAATTTTCTATCATTTTGGATTCGAGTTCCAAAACCCTTGCCTTCCGCATGGCAGTACGCGATGATAGCAGCTCGCATATTGTGGCCACCACGTCGATTAATTTTCAAATATATCTGGTCTCATAGGGTAGTAATAAATGAGACTGGCTGCTTTAAGTTCTCATATTTACGTTAGTCTTAAAATATTTTTTTTTTTACACTAAAAATCTTTTCTAAAAATATTCTCAACGAAATCTAATTTCTATTTCACGTCTTCTAAATTTTTTCCAGGCAATAGCGGTGACGAATACGAAGCGGCAGCCGTGCGACACCTCAACTTTGCACCATTCGCCGCCACGCACAACAACAACCAATTTAAACACCACCAACACCAGCAACACCATCACCAGCCGCCACATCAGCATCAGCTGCAACACCTGCCAACAGTGCCACTAACAGTGGCAGCGGCGGCGGCGGCGGCGGCGGCGTCACAATCGTCCACATTGGATTACGAGCGAGCGTGCGGCGAACATAAGCGAGAAAGTATTGAACACAATACCGTTAACGCCAACGTCAACACCGCCTTAGCGAATGGTCATAGCAGTGCACATTTTGATTTGGAATTAACGCCGCTGTATGGTGCGCCTTTTACAACGGCGTTCAGTAATCATCATCAGCAACAACAACAGCAACAACTACAACTACAACACCTGCCAACACCACATACAATAGCCAGCGCAGCAGCAACATCGCCAACAAAAACAACAATACCCGCGACAGCGTCCACTACAGCGCATCAAATGGACACGCCATTCTTCTTCACGCAGCTGGCGCGTTTGCAAGGACGTGACAATCCCATGAATGGGTTGGATATACGAGAACGGGGCGTGTATGCGAAAGTGCGGTTGTGTCGTGGAACGCGTTATGGGCCGTTTGCGGTGAAGCTCTGCAGTGAACCGACCGCGCCCAGTCTGGCTAGGGAGGTAAGTGTACCGTTGAAGCGAGAGCATGTGGGAAAGCTGTGTGCGAGTGTGTGTGCGCGTGTGTTTTAATGAAATTTAAGATGCTACCGTTGATGATTAATTTTATTTAGTGGGAAATTGTGGAATTTCTGTTGAAGATTCGTGCAGATTTTAGGGCCGAAAATGCCATTTATTTCGCTTTATTTCTGTTTTTTTTTTTTGCTTTGTTGACAATTTTCCGTTGCTTAATCCTTTCGCATCTGTGCGAAAATTGCAAATGCGGATCGCATTACTTGCCGCGGTCACAAAATGCATATGTGCTTATGCCTGTGTGTGCATGTGCGTGTAAGCGCTGCACAGTCGCTGAAATTAAATCCCATCAAGCGTTACCCAAAGTTACCACATTTCCAATTTGCACATTTTCCTATAATTATTTATGTATACCTACATATACATATGCGTATGTATATGTATTTAATACGCATCCTTTTTGGGTGCGAAAATGCGAAAAAACCAATGAAAATTAAGTGATCAAGAAAAGATTCGATTAAAGTGAACTCAGCTATGTGCCGCTCAGCTTAGCTCAGCCCGCCGTTGTTATTATTGTTTATATTTGTCTGTACAGTTGTTGTTATTGTTTTCGTTACACGCATCAGTTGTCAATCAAACAAAACAAAAATAGCGGCTGCAAATTGTCACATCGTCTCAATGCTCCGATTGCACAGAGTCTCGTACTCGTCCTCGTACTCGTACTCGTACACGGACTAATAGGATAAGAGTCTACGCTGGGAGAGCTCTGTATAGTATAGGATATGTAAGGTAAGGAAGCGCGCACATCAAGTAACGGATATGTTTAGGGATGTGCCAAAAACCATAGCTAATTTCCGGAATTAAAAAAAAAAAAATAATAATAATAAAAGCAATAACAACAATATTCTGCAAAAACTAAGCATAAATCCACAAAGTGCCCCTCAAATGAGGCTTAAATTCGCCAGCAAGCCATGACAGCCAGCAAGCAGATAATACCAATTAGGGTCTAGTCTAGCGTACTGAAAAACTCAACTGACTTCGCACGTACCCTACCCTACAAACAGACAACCAAACCTCCGCCGGGTTCGTCTGTGAGCGGGCCACGTCAACCCAACTGCTACGCCACTACGCACTACTACACTGAGCTACGCGCGCTGTCAGTCAGTCTGTTCGCCTGTCTGTCTGCTCTTTCATTCATCTGCTTCGTGTAGCCGTCTGTCGGTCCGCTGGGTCCTTCAACTCAGTTGTGAGGCGCTACCGTTTGACAATCCAATCAAATTATCGCGCCTTGCACAGATGAGAAGTTTGCTGTCAAACACACAGCACTACACAAGCTATACATACATATACATACACGCACACAATCGCTGGCGTCGAGTTGACAATTGTCAATCAGAGAAAAAAATATTGTAATAATAATAAGAAGTTGCAATAACAACACTCAGGTAGTTTTGGAATTTATCCTAAATCAATTTTTGTTTGTATAATTGTTTGTGTGTATGTGTGTATGTATGTATTTATCTAAGCATTCAACAAGCCATCCACTCCATAAGCAATCTATTCTACAAATTGATCCTTACGTTTTGGCAGACAGTGAGTCAGCCGCTCTTGCTGTTGTTTTAACAACTAAAGGGTGTTTTTTGAAGACATGGGTTTTCAAGAAAAAATAAAACGATTCTAATTCAATGTTATGGTCAAATATCGGATGTATTATAAAAACCGGGGATTACCATTATATTTCAAAAACCATTTCGGGCAAGTGACTGGCGCGGCTTGCTCGATGGGTACGATTCTCCAACTCTATTGGCAGCAAACGCAGCCAAGTGTCAGTAAATATTCTCTTCCAGCGTCGTTAAAACGCACAGTCTTGGAGGCCGCTCCACAGGTCCACATTACGAGATAATGCAGCCATCCAAAGTTTCTTTCAATAAATTGACTGTATCTTTGGCTGCCATACAGCTGTGGGCTCGTCGGCTTTTTGTACAATCTTTAGCTCTTGGGCAATCGAAACAGCGCTTTCATGATGGTCGGACTCGGCAATGTCCATAATTTTATTGGCATTTTCAACACCCGGCTTTCCAGTGCGTGGTTCATCTTTGACATCGAAATTACCGGAACGGAATCAGGACCATTTTCCTTCCGTCTGGCTTGCGCTTTCGTCTTTATCGAAGAAAATCTGTAAAATATAGCGTATTTCATCTTTGACGCCCGCTCGACCAATCATAAAATTGTCGGAAACTTTCTTTTAGTGCGAAATATCGTCTTTCTAACGCCGTCTAGCGGAGTCCAATCGGACTTATACAACGCGAGATACAGATAAATAACGCAATCTATTAGAAAAATAATGGATTTCTTTCTACTACAACTAATATGAACCTTTTGGTGACCTTTAGGAGTTGTAACGGTGTTTCTAAAATAGCTTGTGGATCAACATCACTCTAAATGCTAACATTTTGTTTAATAACTTATTCATTCAATCAAAAGTGAGCTTCAACGTTGAAGAAAAGTAAATTGTAAATTATGAGATCAGTGGCCATCACGTTTTGGACCCATTTACTGGAGCGAGTGACACGACAGGAAAAAAATATTGACTCATTGAAAACTCACGTCAAAGAAAAGAAAACACACCCTTTACTTACCTGGCTTCTCTGCTTGTGTTGTGTTTCAAAATATTTCCAAAGGCATGTGTTTTGCTACAGATGATCCTCGCATCAAGCGTTATGAATATTGCTTATTGAAATAAAATACTCATATTTATGCATTAGCAGTTCAGTATAAGAGAATAAAATCGATGTGGAAATAAATATTCATATGAGAAGAGATCTCCAAATATTTATATTCAATACATTTGAATCAGTTGAACTAAAAATGGCAGGAAGTAAAAAGTCGTAACACTGGAAATATTAAATTTAAACAAAATGTGCTCAACTTTGGATTATCAAAACAGTCTCTGTTTTAATCGACGGGTACGGAGTATAGCCATGATAACTTTATAGAGACTGGTGTGATCCTGATAATTTTAGTTTTATTACAAAGGATATGTCTTGAAGTTAGATTACGCATATCTCCGATTTTTATAATAAATATTATCAAAAGTGGATTGTGACTAGGTTTCGAAGTTGAAGTTCATATACCTAAAAATGGAATAAAAATTCCGGTCGTAATATGAGGAAATGTGGGATGATTTACTGATTTGAGCGTATGCGATGCGTGATCAGAAAATAACCGATATTGGCCCTTCAAAGTAATCCCCCCTCGGATATGATACACTCATGTCAGCGTTTTTTTCAATCCTCTTAACTCTTCTGAAACTCGTTCTTGGGTATCGCCAATAGCTCCTATTTCGATTTGTCTTTTATCTCCTCACTCATAGCAAAACGCTTTCCTTTCATCGGTGTCTTCAGTTTTAGGAAGAGGAAAAAATCAGCGGGTGCCCATGCCGGCGAATACGGTAGTTGAGGCATGGCAATGGTTTTGTTTTAGGACAAAAACTCGCGTATCATTTTCTTCACTGCCTCAATGTTGATGATGTGGTCGGGCGACCAGGATGAGCATTGCCATTGACATCTTCTCGGCCTTCTTTAAACCGGTTATACCACAATTGTTCTGCTCATACTAGACCCGCCAAGCGCCACAGTCAAAATTTCATCAGTTTCATTAATATAGTTTCTTTGATCCATTTTTTCGAATAGTAAAAAATCGAAGAGCACACCGAAACACGACTAACCGTTTTATCTATCAAAAACAAACTGACTGATATTGCCAACATATATAACAGACATGTCTACCAAACTCCTACTTTATAGCGCAGAAGTGTGAACGATATCAATATCTGATGAGTCGTCTCTAGTAGTCTTAAAGAGAAAGGTTTTGCGAACGATTTGTGGTCATTTGTGCATTGGCAACGGTGTAAACCGCATACGATGTAACGATGAGCTATATGATGATATTGATATAATCCAGCGAATGAAGAGATAGCGGCTACACTGGCTAGGTCATGTCGCCCGAATGGATGAAAGCACTCCAGCTTTCAAAGTATTCGATGCAGTACCCGCTGGTGGAAGCAGAGGTAGTGGAAATCCCCCACTCCGTTGGAAGAATCAGGTGGAGAGCGACCTGACTTTACTTAGTACCTCCAATAGACGCCAAACAGCGAAAAGAAGAGATGAAAGGCGCGCTAATATTGATTAGGCTATAATCGCATCAGCGGTGCCAACGCCAATAAAGAAGAAAAAGATATGATAGTGTTGGACCCAATAAACTGTTCTCTCCAAACCGCAGTGCGGTGTGTCCATCACATTCTTTCGGCTCCTTTACTGTATTTGGCGCATATAAAATATCTGATTATTGATGGACTTACCAGTTCCAAGACCAACGATAGAGGAGACCTTTTATGTTTTTTGAGAAATATTTGTTGCTCAACTACTGTTCCAAGTTTAAAACTTATGGCACAAGGATTTCAGCTACATAAACACCTTGACGAGTTAGAAGCAATTCATAGAAAATTTCAGTCCCTCAAAGGCTGGAAAGTGAAAGATAATACTACACCGAAATATCATACTGAACAAACAGTAACTGACACACTTTTTTCATGGCAAACTGATTATTGACAAGATCGAGTGTACAATTATAACAACAACAACAACAGCATGGACAACAACGAGCTAGCGATCTAGTGAGGTAGTGAGCTGGCAGGGATCAAATTTATGAGCATGAAACCGCTGGTGTGAACATCATCATACAAATAGTAGATTATCTTGTGCGTGTAAATATTTTTCTTATTGTTGACATACATTTGCAGGGGTTTGTACTTCGCACTGTTGTCTAACATACTACATATGCTCATGTACATACATACATACAGATGTGTCTTACCTTTTTTTTTTTGGGTTGTGCATTGTGTAGCCAATTTTCAAACTAGATTTTATGTTCAGATGTATTTGCTGAAAGTAGAGCATTCGCCAGGCAGATAATAATTTCCTCAGTTACAC